AAAAATATATACTAACTACTATAAAACTATATAATTAATAATTATAAATAAATAATAAAATATAAAATATAATAATAAGAGATAATTTATTTATCACATATATGATATTATCACATTGCATGTATGTAATATAGATCACAGGATAGCAAATATAGTAAAATAGTAAATGATAGTATATAGTTTCATAAGTTAGTAAACTTAAATATTGTATAAATAATGTAATGATAGAATTGATATTAAATAGATGTGAATAAGAAAAAAAGACTATTTTTTCTTTTTTAAATTGCGAAGGGTAAAGGAAATATTTACAGTAGTACATATAAAAAAAAACCAGTATAAAATACACATTTGTATGTGATACTTAGTTGTGTAATTATTTGAATTGTGCAATACTTTTTTAATATAAAAATACTGAAAGCTCCTGAGACTTTGTAACATGCGTTAAAAATAGAACAAGATGGTCATAGTATATAGAAACTAAGAAAAAGTATACAATCTGATTTTTCAGTTCAAGTTCACTGATCTACTGAATTAAAATTTAAACTGACGTAACAGATTTCTTTTTCAGCGAACTAATCAGAATAAACTTTTTTTTTTTTTTTTTTTTTTTAAAGAAAGTATGCAAGATGACTATTTTACTGTTATATAAATCATAGAACTTACAAACCAATACAATAATAATTTTATGTTTTAAAGACTTGAACAATATCTCACTGTAGATTTGATTTTGAGCTTAGAATCAGATGATTTAAAACTTGAGTATAAGATCAGAATTAAATTATTGAAAAATCTGCTAGCTCAGAATATATTAAATTTGCCTTATTAATATTTAGATGTTGTTTTGAGTTCAGAACATGACAACCTTGAATCTACTGAATATTTTTTATTTTAGCCAGAAGAATTTGTGGAACTAGATACTTCAGTACAAGGTAGGTTTTGTTATTAGTTACCTTTATATAGGTTCTGCTTGAAGTAGAATAATATAATAAATATTCTTTATAATGTATTCATTAGGATTAGCAGAATTAGATGAGCTTGAAACATTAGAAGAAAGTAGTTTTTTATTAATATTAAAAAATTGAACTATATATATTGAATATTAAATTATGCTATTCTTTTATAGGTCCTGTTATAAAGTCAGAATTAGTAAATATTGATTCTACCAAATTTCCTTTATTAACTCATCTAATAGAATTAGCTGTTGGATCATATTTTTTATTCTAGTTAATTGCTAAACATTATATCAAGGAATATGGGTGACAAAAAGGATTTGCTGTTAATCGTTATAGAGTTAGTTATCACAAGGATACTAGTTCATTTAATCGAATTATAAAAAGATAGCTATTTTCATGTGAATATACTAGAACCTATAAGCCAAAAAAGACAAAACCATTAGACCAACAACATAACAAAGGATCAAAAAAAACAGATTGCAAATGGCATATTAATTTGTTTAATCCTGAATATAGTAGTTTTATACATGTGAATTTTGTAGATTTAAAACATAATCATAAATTATTTGCTAATAATACAAAATTTATTACAAAATTTAGAAAATTTGAACCTTTAATATTAGCAAAAATCAAGTATGCAGTTATATATAGCTAGTGTGATACATATACTATTAGAAATTTATTACAACCATTATTTTCTAATCAACTTTTTCTCACTTAGAATCTTTCTAATGCTATTCAGAAAATTAAACATGAAAAACTTATTACTGGATCTGATGTATCTAACTTATTAAAATTTTTACTAAATCAACAAAAAGAAGAGCTAACAATATTTATACAACTATTAATTAATATAGATTGTGATAGACTATGTGATATATTTTAGATGACAGCAAACCAAATAGTATTATAGTCTTGTTATTCAGATGTTGTACTTCATAATAATACTTCTCGAATGAATAAATACAATTTTTCATTATCACTGTTTGTAATTGTTGATAACAATAGAAAATCATACTTAAGTGCTTAGGCTTTTTTAAATGATGAAACTCAAGAAAGTTATGAATAGTTGTTACAACAAACTTTAGATGCTACAGATATTGAACCAAAAGTCATATTAACAGATATAAATCTAGCTATGGAAGTAGCATATAAAATAGTATATAAAAATAGTTATTACATGTACTGCATTTGGTATATTTCTCAAAATTTACCTAAATAACTTAAGGCTAAACTCAGAAAGACAACTTTTAAGCAATTTGTTTATGACTTTTAGAAAATACGTAATTTGTTATGTATAAATGTCTTTGAACAAAGGTTTGAGGCTTTGTTAGAAACTTATTCTAATATTAATGAATACTTGCAAAATCCTATTTACTTAACACAATATTCTTGAGCATGTGCATTTATAAGACGTATCTTTACAGCTAGTATGCAATTAACACAACATATTAAATCAATTAATACAATTATCCACAAAGCTGTTTCTTTTAATTAAATTATGTTTGATGTAGCCAAAGCTTTAGATTCACAAATACAAAGAGAAACATTGAATAAAGACTTTTTATTATAGAAATATAAATCAATGACATATTATTAACTATTTGTTGTTAATAATTTTTTTAGTAATATTAATGATACTATAAAAAAATATTTTTCAACATAAATTGTTGCAGCAGTTCAGAAGCAAATATATGAATCTGTGCTTTATAGATATGAAAAATTATCTCTTGACAAAGCTTTTAAGTTTAATGAAGATTAATCAGTAGGCATAATTATAGTAATAAATATAGTAGAATTCAAAAATAGAAGTTTAATAATCAAAATAATTAGTGATTATTGCTATAATTTCTATTTTTGAATTCTATTACTATATTTGGATAATATTAATATAAATATTAATATTAATTACGTAGGATCAATAGAAGATTTATGAAAACCAAGTTTTTGATAATTATAATCATAAAAATATTGATAATATCAAAGATATTAATAATCAAGCAAGTGCTAATAATATTAATGTTAGTAATAATCAAGAAAGTGCTAACAATATTAATGATGATAATAATCAAGAAAGTGCTGATAATATTAAGGATTATTATAACTATTGACAAACATATTTAAAATCATTATTAAATTCTGTTGTAAAAAACTCAATTAAAGAAGTATAGAAGATTATTCCTTATATAGCACTACAATCATATCAACATATCATAATTCTTAATGATGGAACTTATTTATATACATATTTATTATTGGTTTCAAATGGAATTGTTTGTTGTCACTACTTCAAATTAATAATTAAAAATCAAAATGCTTTATTTCATCCAATGTTAATGCTAACAAGATAGCTTCATGATAAAGTTTGGACTTGTATTGATTCTATTATTAAAGAACTATTTATTGGAATATTAAAGAACTTAAACCAAGTTAATAATATTGCTTTTTAGCAAACTACATTTATTCTTAAACATTATAATAATATTCAGGAAGTTCAAGTATATCAACATATACAGAAAAGAATAGAATATAGTTGACTTATGTAGTATTTTAAGAAAGCTTTGAGTTATTCACTAGAAGATAATAATTAAACCAATTTAGATAATATTATATTAACTTATATTTCTGAGAAAGAAGCTAAGAAGCAGTTTGACAGAAAGAATATT